TTAATACGAGGCGGTGGGCTTGCTAATCAGGTCCACCTGGGCACAAAAGACAGGCTAGTGCTTTTCTGCAAAAGAAGTGTCACTCCAGACCTCACTCCTTTTAGCCCTACGGATGCCATGTGGATTACAGGGGCTAAGGGATGGCTTCTTAATGCAGGCTACACATTAGAACCACTGGGGAGGGTTTAAAACTCTCCACTGCAGACCAAGTACATCGGAGTCTCTGGGAGGGGGGCCTTGGCATCCTAGTTTTAAGACATTCTTCCAGGTGATTCTAAGATGCAGCAAGTTCGCAGGCCACCAGATTTCGTGTTCGAAAGGGAAGATGCTGCTGCCAGCCTGAGGGCTCTTGGTCAGTAAGGAAACGGTGACCAGCTGGGAAAGGATTTAAAAAGTGACAAGGAGGGAGGGAGAGAAGACTAACTGAAACTGAGTGATTCACAAAATGAGCAGGAAGGCAACACTGTTGTCAACGGTCTCTATTGTAAGCGTGACGAACTATCACAAAGCCATAGCCTCTGGGGCGAAGGAGGACGGGGAAACAGGAAAAGGACAAACAGAGAGTGAGATGGTCCACAGGGTCATTGTGACCCTTCGTTAATGCACATGGAGTGTATTCTAGAGGTGGGATTAAGATGTTAGGTACGTGACAAGGTGGGGGAAATATGTCGCTGTAGTAAGAATGATTATGACTGGGAAATCACTCTGCAGCCTTTTACAGCATCTCTGGAGCATCCCCCGAGGTCTCCTGGGTGGAGAGCTGTGAAAGAGTGGGATCTGAGCCTTCACCCCTCTCACAAAGCCCAGGTGGCTTCCTATTATTTCTTTAAAATGGTTTGGTTATTTCAGAAAGCCATGCTTATCCTGGAAGAGCTTGAGAAATACAGTTAAGCCGAAGTGAAACAAGACCAAAGCCACTTCCAAGGGTCACTCACAAAACCACCACAGAAGTTTCTTTCCCATGGTCTTTCTTCTCCTCTGAGCGTATACTTTTTCTTTTTAGACAAAAAAAAAAAAGATCCCACTAAATCTAGTTTTATAGATTTTTAAACAATTTATCAATAGACTGGCAACATTTTTCTTATGTTAAAAAAATCCATGTGACCCTTTTTAATGGCCATCATTTCACTGTACACATTTCAACATTCTCAGTTCTCTCTCTTTTTCATGGTACACCTGTTTCAACACTCACTACTCAACTCTCTCTTTTTTAAAAAATTTTTTTGAGGGGGGAGGTAATCAGGTATCTATCTATCTGTCTATCTATTTATTTAGAAGTACCGGGGATTGAACCCAGGACCTCGGGCTTGCTAAGCACGCGCTCTACCACTGAACTATACTCTCCCTCCCACTCCATTTTCTCTTAATGAACATATAGGTGATTTCCAGTTTTTCACTTATAATCATTATTGCAGTAACAGCCCGGAATGTCCATCTTCATGCTGACTTTTGCTTTAGGATAAATTGATCCAAGTGGAATGGCTGTGACAGAAGGTAGATACATTTTTAGGTCTTTTGATATATAGCATGAAACCACCTGTGATTGGCTCCCGCTTTAACCAACCAATTCAAACTACTTTAAGCATTTTAAACTCTTCTTGCCCTCGGGCACATATAGGCCAAGCAGCAAATTCACAAAGGTGGCTATTGCATCAGCTCAAAGAAAATTAGACTCCTTTCATGTGAGTGTTCCCCTCTGCCAATGCACTGTTTAAATCATCACTTCCAGACAATCTGTTTTATAATCACCAGACTTAATAAAGGGAACTTCCTAGAAATTACTCAGCTGAGGAAGAACTGCAAGGGTTTGGTTGGGTTCTGAGTGGGTGTTTTGGCTGGGGACATATTGGCTCCTTTTGAAAAGTGAAATTTCCAGAGCGTTCCCAAGCCCTAGTGGATTTCATGCCTGTGGGCTCTTGTTTTACATCAGCCAGAGGTCCAGCTCAGGGTCACAGTCTTCCTCACCAGCCTTCACTTTCCTGTCCTCTAAGCCTTTGCTCACAAGGTACCTTTCCCCACCTGGAGTTTCCTCTGGGTGGGGTTGCCAGATTAGCAAATAAAAATACAGGATGCCCAGTTCAGTTTGAGCTTCAGGTAAACAGCAAATGTTTTTAGGGATGCTGCCGGTTGCTGAGTATGTCTGTTCCATTTATGCATTCCAGAACTGAGGAAATAACCATAGGACGGGGTCAGGGACCCACCAGACCCACTGTGAAATGGACCTGAACTAAAACTTTGATTGATAGCCTGACCTCCCTTCTCTGGCTGGTGGACCACAGTGATGTCTTGAGTCTTCTGGAATTTGTGTTAGTTCCCAGCCAGTGTCCAGTATCCCCAAAAGGTCTGATTGCTTCCTTTCATCTGATGCACAGGCATCCTGGTAAAAGGCTGTGTGTCCCTCTGGGGAAGGCTGGGGGAAAGGTTAACCACATACAATTTTCGCAGCATAGCCTGGTTCTTCCACGAGGGGACTCAGCCCCCCTTTTATTCAAAGAGTTCTGGTCTATTAACTGGCTCATGTCTGGACCTTGACTGGGGGGGCCATGACTCTCTGTT